TATATATATATATATATATATATATATATATATATATATATATATATATATATATATATATATATATATATATAATTTAAAAAACTGGAAATACAATCATTATATATATATATATATATATACACACACACACACACTCGCAACATATGATTGCATATTACGATTGTATTCTCACTATCCAGTATATATTTTTAATTTTTTTCATTTTTAAATGACATTTCATATTTGAAATTTCATTTAAAAAATGAAAAAAATTAATAAAATGCTGGATATCATTTCATAATAATACAAATAACTACACATAGATACATTGGTTAGGAAATGCTGCGTAAACAGGAAATAACCACAATTTATCATTTTGCTTGCATGCTTTTCTAACCACAAATGGCATCTTTCTTTTCATAAGATGCATTGGCTCGTTAACACAACCTAATAAGGAAGTTGATCTGAGCCGTATGGCTGCTGTCGGAGTGATGTATGCATGCATTTGGGTTTGTTGTTGTGGTGTTATTGATCATCAGTGACACAATGGATGACACAGTATGCAGCTGTGGGTCATTAGCCCAGTAATGCCACTATAGCTGTATTGATACAGCACTATTTGTGGCACATCAGGACTATAGTACAGGGTTTTTTAGAGATTTGCAAGCAAAGCACAAAAGTGCTTCTTTTTCATTTATTTTTTTTATACTTTTTGGAATAAAATCCACCTATAACCACCAAATATTTTCATAGTTTCTAATTGTGGTTTTGAATATATTCAGCTTCCATTACGATTCAAAGGGCAATTTGTCATTATCGGCTGGCCAGTTCTGTCTGCTGCAAAATTTTCCAACAGTGTTTTCAGCACAAATACATTAGCTTCATCCACAAAGCCACACCTTTGTGTAAGCTGCAATGGCAGAATGACAAATGGAGCTATAGCTAGAGCGGACTGCGCTGCCCTGAATGTGTCTGCGCTTACCTATGGAGGAGATACGGATATATCCGCTGATTTAATGTGGAGAATTAGACTCCACTTCCCTGTTCTGTAATTACAGCAGATGTGAGAACCAGAATAATGTTCTCTGGTTTCTTTTTAAAGCTTTGCAAACTCCAGGTGTTTATTGAAGAGGAACTCTGAAGGTTTTTGTAAAGAAACCTCAGATCTCAGGGTACTAGATTTACACAAGCCTGATGAAATTTGTCATGTTGAAGACAAACGATGTGTTTTACGTAATTGGTTATGACAAATGTCCTCTCATGTCATTATTTATATTGTCTCAAAACAAATGTGTTTTGTGAAAAGTGCTATACAAACACATGTGACTTGACTCCTTAGGTGCATTTAAACACCAAAAGTGTGGTGGAATTTTATTATATTCATTTAAATTTTTGTTCCCAGCTTCGTTCCTTTTGTTCCATATATATATATTTAGTGCTGTCAAACGATTAATCTCATCCAAAATAAAAGTTTGTGTACATAATATATGTGTGTGTATTGTGTATATTTATTATGTATATATAAATGCACACACATACTGCATATATTTTGAAAATATTTACATGTATATATTTATATTCATATAAATATATTTAATATATAAACAAATATAAAAACAAGTGGTTGGAGGAGAACTCTGAACCCCAATACAGTATTTTTTCTGTCGCATAGCCTCCTGCCTTACATAAGTATCTAAACGTAAAAAAAAAAATACTAGCTGGATAAAACATCTGATATTATCTTCTAATATTCGTATCTAATTGGGCTCAACTGATGATTTTGTTTTAATAGAAAAATTCTCAGAAGCCACTGGCCTTTGGCTCTGAGGACCCAATATCATGTTTGATGACTATTTAGACTCTGAGGTTTTTTTCTTCTCCTTCTTCATTTATAAAGTATTACTGGTGCCCAGATGGAAATGTGTGTGGAAATGTATATATTTTTTAAGTATGTATATACGCCGTTCTGTGAAAAAACATTATTATATAAAAAAATATATATATAAATTATAACCAAAAACCTAAATATTAACTCATTTAGTAACTTAAATTATTTTTGTCATAATGCATCTGAATGTTATTTTGTAAGTAACATTTTTCTCAGTTGCGATTCTGATTATATTTTTATTACTATAATCCAGTTATAATCCAATGTTTTTTGTATTTTCCTCACTGATTAAATTGTAATGCTTGCGAAAGAAATATTATTGTTAGTGTATTCTGCTATTTTCCCGCCATGTTTAAATTGAAACAGAAGAAACCAGTGAAAGCAGGTGGACAGAAGTTGATGTGAATGTGCGTGTGAGGAAGCAAGAGATGTACATTAATAGAGAGAGAGAGAGAGGGGAGCTAGAGGGGGTTGCACTGCTCGCTTCTATTGGCTAACCATTACGACATTCTCCCGAAGGCTCCCAAACCTCCTCCTCCTCTCTCTCTGCCGCTCCACACCCCTCCATCTCGCGCTCTGTTTCTCCACATGTCCCCCGTCTGTTCTCTTAGCGAGCATCCAGCAGCAATTAGCATTTAGCATGAGTTGCATTGGAGCCTCGGCCATGTCCACTGTCCATTCGTCTACGGTCTCCTGTTCCCTCTCAATGCCCCTCCTATCTTCCTCTCCTCCTCCCTTTCCGCCACTCCGCCACCTTTTCTAGCATCGACAGCATCTCTGTGAGCATCTCTCCCTCCCCGTCTTCCTCTTACGTGCTCATCGACTTTCCCTGCTGTTGGAAAGCAAAGCACAGAAGCCACTGGAGCTGGAGTAACGAAGGCCGGAGGACAAAAAGACAACAGCCTCCACCCAGTCTCGCATCTCACCTCCTTCATCCCACACTTGGACGTTCTGGCACCTTTTGGATACTTCTGGACCTCGACAGGATGGCGGAGCCGGCAGACTCTCGACTGAACAAGAGCAAGGACTTAGCTTGACTCCGACTCTACAGACTCCTTGACGGAGAGCAGAATCTACCTGACGACAACTCAACTTCGTTTTGTTTCCACCTTGATCCGAGACCTTTTGAAGACGAGCAAAACACAGAAGACGTGCTGCCCGTTGTCTGTCTCGACAGCACCACGCGACTCTCCTCCTGCCTGTTGCCAGGCAACAAATTGCAAATTTGGGATTTTGGGAGGAGCCGGCCAATGATAAACCAGGATGGAAGCGTATTTACTTGTTGAAGTATGTCAAAGCACTTTCGGTTTGCTTTGGTTCTGGCATCTTTTAAACTAGGCGTGGTCGCCTATATTTTGTTTACATTGCAGACCCAAAAATGGATCAATGCAGATGTGAATCTGCTCTCCGGTTTTTGATGCTACATACTCAGGCTTGTCGAATCATGATCGAATGACACCGTCACATTTGCCGAGGCTGCTTTAGTGCTACCGAATCAACCACCTGGACTAACTTTTCCAAGATTGGACAACGTCTTGGGACATCAACGTGGCTGACTCCAAGTCAGCCCCAGAGCCTCCATGGGAGGACGATGCTGGGGATTCTGAAGGAACCCAAGAGGCTCTTTCACCTTTGACCCCAGAGAGAGACTTGCCTTCACCACCTCTGTGGGCTCAGATACCACCTGCCATGCGGAGGCTGGAGGAAGGGGGTGCTGGAGAGGACAAGGGTGGGCTGGTCAATGACTGTACCGATAGAGTCATGGGGCTGCTGGGCATGGGTCATCGCCTGTTTGTGCCCCGACTGCTGGCGGTGAGGGGCAGCTGCTGCAAAAATAGGCCTTCTTCATGTCTGTTTATGTTTTGTGTGTTTATATGTGGCTCTTGTGTGGCCTTTGTATGTGTTTATGTAGGAAACGTGTAGCTGGCTTTTATTTGTCATTCTGTTGAAGGCAATTTTGTTTCACAATGTCTTTTTAATATAAAGAGAAATTTTTATTTATTTATTTTATTAATAATGCTTTGATTTATTAAGTTGTATATAAACTTTTTTTTTTTTATTTAAATGTTCTAATTTATTTTAGTTCTTTAATACTTTAAGTTCACTTGCAGTATACAAATTATTATTTTTTATTATTAATTTAGTTTATTTGTTTGTTTGTATATTTATTATATTTTATTGATAATGCTTTTGATGCCTTACGTTCACTTGCAGCATATAGCATAGGTTCTGTTTATTTTTAAATGGTTTTATTTGTTTGTTTAATAATGCTTTGATGCCCTAATTCACCTGCAGCATACAAGCTATTTTTTGTTTTATTTATTTATTCATTCATTCTATCATGCAATGCTTTACTATCTTAAGTTTACTTGCAGCATATTAACTATTCTTTTTATTTTTAATGTACTTTTGTTTGTTTATTTTTTTTATTTTTATTTAATGCCTTAAGTGCACTTGCAGCATACAAACTAGTTTTATTATATAAATGTTATTATATATTTAATTAATTAAAAATGCTTTGATGCCTTAGGTTTACATGTAGTATACATGTTAATTTTTAAACATTTATACATTTTTTTATTATTTATTTATTGTCTTAAGTTCAATTGCAGCAAACAATCTATTATTTTTTATGTATATTTATTTTCTTTTTTTTTGTTGTTAGCAAAGTGCAGATTAACATTTGGTTTAATATTGGTTATTTTGGCCATAAAATTAAAGTAATTATTAGCTTTTCGCTATCGGCCAGACTTTCAGTATTGGTAGAAATTATGTTTTACTGTGAAAATCTTACTCTTGTTGTCATTCGATAGATGGATTTAAATATCTGATTTATGCTCAAACAATATAGCATCTGTAAAATGTTATGTGGCTTTGTCAGGTTCACACAAGGCCACTGCAAACATAAATGAGGAAAATAATCACCTAGCAAAGTTCCTCTTCAGGTAGTTTATCAGGTTAATTTTACTGAAACGACACTAAACCAGTTCTGTTTTTCTGTCTGCATGCAGACCTCCAAGGAAGACTTGCTTCAAGCTGATTTTGAAGGTGCGCTGAAATTTTTCCGGGTCCAGCTCCCAAAACGCTACAGGGCGGCAGAGAATGCTCGGCGCCTGATGGAGCAAGCTTGCAATATCAAGGTAAGAAACAACTCCAAACATCTTTCAAAGCACTATTAAACACTGGGCATTTATTAATATATTTAATATATTTCATTTAGTTTTGCCCTTATTTTTCTATCAATTTAGTGCCAGTTACATGAATTCTGTTGATTTGAAAACCCCAACCATAAATATTATATTTAATTTGAATATTTTAATAATTTATCTACTTTTTTGTTTGTGCATTGAAAATGAATGAGTTTTTAAATTGCTTTGCTTAAGGTGATGAGGTGTGCTTTTAGTTGTCTGATCAGTTGGATTTATACATGGCGGATTATGAAATGGGTGGAAACCTATGGACTTATGTTGAAGGAGTTAATGATGTAATCCCAGGTCACTTTTGCATTGTTTGAGAAATGTGAGGCACTACACCACAAAGCTAGCATGCCGTTATTCAGAGAATGCAGAGACCTTGTCTGCATTTCAAGGCTCCATTGAGACAAGGTGGCGTTAAGACTCAAGGATAAATACCCACAATTCTCTGCCTCAAACCCATTCCACATGACTTCTATAGGCTCTGACCTATTTTCCGCTGAGGTTATTGCTTCTTCCATACATTCATGCTTTAAAGAGTTTATTTTTGTTGGGGGGCAGGGGTTTTATTTATTTATTTGTGTGATGTTGAGTGTGCATGTTCAGGAAGGAAGGAAGGAGAAAAGATCAAGATAATACTGTGTCCATCTCCTCCCTCCTACTTCTCTTTCTCCTTCTTTTTGTAAAAGCGGTCTTGCTGTCACTAACAGCAGGATTTCCTGTGCCCCAGTCGCTCACTGCTTTGCTTCAGTAATACAGTAATTGTATAATGCACTGTTTAACTAGGGATGACTGTTTGTACGCTAAAATGAATTCCGACATTGAGAATGTTTTGTCCAAACAGTGTTGCTAAAGGGATAGTTTCTTGGATATGGCTAGTATCCATGTATGTACTTCTACATAGAAGTAGAAAAGAAAAATTAGAGAGGGTGAATCACTCTGTGGGGAAACTAGCACCTGAGTGAGGTGATGTAACAGGTGCATTCATCAACAAATCAGCAAAAAGAGAGCAGCTTAATTTTACGCTAGCATCATGTGTCTGTAGGATCATTATCCTTTGTTTTTCCTTTGTATGGCACTTTCAACTCCACACCCACCTCCATGCACCCTTGATCCACGTCTCTTCCACCCCCTAACGGGAAGGATGGGTTTATACCTGCAGCATTTATGCCACAGACTTCATTTTGACTACTTGCGATTTGCTCAGGTCTGTTGTTATTGTTCCTTTGGAGAGAAGACCATAAGCACAAGCCGTCTGATCCTTCTGATTTTGCAACTGGATTTTCTCGACATCTTGCCAAGTGGTGTTTTGCCCATGTAAATGAGTTCTGCACCGTCATTGCTGCCAGCATCTGTGTTGACCACGCCTCATTGGCGCCCGTGTGCGTATGTGTACTTAGCCACACTTTCCTCTTTATCTTATGCAAACAAAAGTGAAAGACAGGCAGGAGAGCAGATCAATGAGATGTTTCATCCAAAATCAGCGCTGGAATGGGCGAATAAAGACATTTAGACTGCCATTCAACCTCAAAACTGTTATTTTTATCCTCACTGTCTCCGATCTTGTTAGTTCCTAGAAGATTCTGCCACTGGGATGTCGAGTGGATGTGTTTTATGAGACGACTGTGAGGCAGGAGACTGTGTAGCAAGGACAGGAAGCCTTGTTGCCGTATCTACATATCAGACCTGGACACCAGACGCAACACACACACACACACACACACACACACACACACACACACAGACCATGAAACTGTGCACAGATTGCTTCTGCCACCCGTGATCCCGTCCGTTTCCAATCACATGTGCAAGAAGAGGAAATGCAAAGCGGTCGTTTCTCTTTGAAATGGTGTGAATTTAAAGAGGATCAAGTCACCGGGTAATAAGCTTACAGGGTGATGGAATTCACAGGCACCTGCTTGCGTCGAAAGCACAAGCTGTACGAACTTCCCCCTCGGCGGATTACGAGCTGAATTCCAGATTTCACATCCCCTTGATATTGAAAGAGGACTTAATCGAAAGGAGACATGCTTTGAGAGTGGAAACAGCTTAGAGGAATCAGCCTTGGAGAACTCCAACCACATGCCATCTCGAGTCCTCAACTTGTAGATGTTTGCATTTGGATACTTATTAAACCAGGAACAAACCCACTTTATTTCTCTTGGGAGGAAAAACGAGGCCTGATGAGAAGTTAAAGAGAGAACCACCAGGGGAGTTAGAAGACCCCATTGTGGTTTGTCTGACAAACCAAAATTTCCCCTGCCTCTTCAACATTTTCCGCTTGTCTGGCTCTTCATATTTCCAGTGGTAACTACCACTATCCTTGCGACTGTGGCGATAAGAGTCATCACTGCACAACTCCGACGATTTTGCAGTTTCGAGTCGGTCAGACAAGCAGAGAGATTCTTCTCTTTGAAGGAATTGAGCAGGATACACAATCCTTGGAAGACAAAACCAGGTGTTTGTGTGAGAGAGAGAGAGGGAGAGAGAGTGTGTTCCTCTATGGTCCACCCCCCCTGTGTTTATTTCCCGCCTCAAGGGGCCAGCTCTCATCCGTAAAGAAACTTGTCAGCTGGTCTCGGCAGACTTCTCAGCTCTCTCCTCCTCATTTCCTCCTCCCTCCCTCCCTCCCTTGTTTCGCGAAGCTCACCTGTCTCGCTCAGTGCTCCTCGCAGAAACTTTGCCAAGATGATGCAGGAAGTGTCGATAACGGTGGCTTACGACGCTCATGTTATCAATCAGATCAACGAGGAAGATTTCTTCGCCAGTCTGGTGGCTGACTCCAAACCCAAACCGGTGGTAAGTCTCATTCAAACGGCTGTTTTTACTTTCAGGAATTGACAAGAACATCATCTAGTCTTGTTGTACAAGCCTTTTTCCTCTGAGCTTGTTCGTTTGATACTGTCTAACGCTTTCCACTCTGTGAGAAATGTCCTGTAATGAAATTACAATTTTCCCCATTATGTCTTTATTCCAAGGAATGGCAACGTAGAGCTGAAAATACTATGTGTGTGTGCTGGTTGGTTGTCAACCTAATGCAATTTTGCATGTTATGACTCTCTTTTCCCCTCAAATAGATGTTTTGAATACTCACATGAGCCTTGTGACCTTAATATTCAAACATTGTCCAGTCTCTGACAATCACACTGGTTTAACAAATCCGATGAATCAAAATTAAGCTTTGCTGTTTTTACTTTGTAACTTGGTGTAAATAAGTTCTGTGGCAATGTTTTAGCTGTAAGAGATGGTAGGAAATCACTCATTCTGGTATCGAGAAGTGTTTCAGTTCGTGTATATTCAGGTTTGTAGGAAACGTGTGTTAATGTCAACGTGAATGGAAAATGAAGATCAGCTACTCATTCGTACCTGTGTAGGTGTTTTGAGTATATACAAAAACGTCATTTACACCAACCACGTTTGTTGAGGTGAAACCTACAGGATGAACTTTCCATATGTATATGACTGTGAGTGTTAAACTGAATGAACGGTTGTGCTGAGAGCTTGCTTTTCATGTCGGTTGTGCTATTTCAACATGTCATTTTGTGGTCTGTGGCTACACAACACATCCGGACTGAATGTTCATTTAACATCTCTTCATCTAATGATGCCTTGCCTCTATCTGCGCCCCTGACTGTCAGATTAATAGACTGATGCTTATTCCTATTTACTTTTCCTTTTTTTTCTGTAAAGAATCTATAGCCCTAACCTTAAGTATTAAACTTTGGCACATTTCATCTGGCGGACGGTGATGTTTGTCTGATGAGCGAAAAAATTGTCTTTAAGAGATATCTAGACATCAGAGTATCAAAGAGTTTTTGTTTTTCTTGTAACCACCCAGAACCCTCTAAAAACCACCTAACAACCACCCAGAACACCATAGCATCTGCCTAGCTACCATACAGATCCCCCTAACAACCACTCAGAAATCAAATAAAAAAAAACAAATATCTCCTTAGAAACCACCCAGAACACCATAGCAACTGCCTAGCAACCAGACAGATATCCCTAGCAACCACCCAAAACTAAAAAAACAGCCAGATCCCTTTAGGAACCACCCCAAACATCATAGCAACTTCCAGAAACCACCCAGATCCCCTGAGCAACCATCTTACAACCACCCAGAACACCACAGCAACTGCCTAGCAACCATACAGATCTCCCTAGCAACCTCCCAAAACACCTTAACAACCACCTAGCAACTGTATTCCCTGTTTTATTTCTCTTTTTCTGTCCCTGTCCTGATGTTATCATTTGTTTCCTTATCCTCCTCGTTCACTGTGTTCTAAAGAGTTTGTATCATGTTCACATTCCTCGAACAGCACAACGAACACTTTGTGCTGCAGTAGAAAGCAAAGGTGGCTGTTTGAAGCCTTTTTTCACAGAAGCTTACCAAAGCACAAGCTTTTGCCTTGTCATCGTTACAACTGCTTTCGCAAAAACAAGCCTCCAGTGCCATTATGGCTTCAGTGATAACACAAGTGGTGGGACAGTTTCTCGCTCCGATGACTCTCATCCTGAGGTCAGAGGTTAAACACACTGGTGAATGGTGCTGTGAATGACACTCAACAATGAGCTGCTCTTCAAAAGAACTGATGCCATTACAGATAAGAAAAAGGCTCCTTTTGTGTTTGTAAGACCTGAATAAAGCTGAAACAGAACTTGGGAGACATGAAATGACTTTCTCAAGTGAGAACACTGTTGATGTGCTTCACTTTTCGCTAGCATGTTGTGTGGAAACAAACAATTACATTTAAATAAAACATAATAAATTAGTTATATTATGATGTTACTGTATAGTATTTGTAAAAAAATATTTTGTAATTTTCTGTTGTACTGTAAATCCTTTTTTATTATGAGATTACATAAAAAAGATACATAAAAAGTAATTTTAAAATATTCCAGTTGATATTTTAAGAAATGCTCTACCCTTTCCATAAACGTAATAATATATTTAATGATTTGTACTTTTAACTTCACTAGTAGTGAACAGCCTTTTTATAAATTACATTATTATTTAGTATATTTCTATGCTATATAATCTTGATTATATTTTTAATACAATTTTATATTCAAAAATGTATTTAAGTATTTCTTTACATATAAGTAATTATTTTGTATATAATATCAATACAAAGCATATTTTGATTGTGTTATTATTTTTTACATATTTTGAAAATTATAACTATAATATCATGTTTTAATGTTCTAACCATTCAGCTGTTCATCAAATATACATTTTAATACATTGAACATATTTTGCCAATTATACATTTTTATCAAGTAATGTCCTAACCATTTGTAAAAATGATCAAATATGTAATGGTTAATTTTCTATATAGTATCAGAATAAAATGTTTAATTAAAAAACAACAACAACATTTTATTTGGCCTTGGCATTTTGAGGAGTGGGGGGTGCTTTTGACTTTAATTTTATTTTATTTTTATTTTTTGAATATACAGTATTTATGAAGCATAATGACTTTACTGAACATTAGTGCTGATTGTCTTATTATATCTGCTGGTATACATTTTTCAGACCTGATCTCTGATTTCCTGTCTTCCTCAGGTGCCAACAAAGAAGCTTAAGAAGTTTGAGAAGGAGTATCAGTCTCTGAGAGAGAGCCAGCTGCAGCAGGAAGACCCTATAGACCGATATCAGGTAAGCAAGAACCTGATTTAGCTCCTCCTCCTCCAGTCCTCATCCTCTCCTCCTACATTCATCTTCATCTCACTCTGTCTCAGTTCAGGACTGTGTAACGGACCGCACTGGAAACCACAGACTCTGTTCGGCTCAGGGAAAGAGCAAAACGCTCGCTCGCATTGTAGATTCTTGTTTTGTACTGCTGTTATTTTATACAAATAATTTATTTTTTGAGATCTATGTGAAGGAAAATTGATATTTTTTTGTTTTTAATTTAAGTGCCATGTTTATTTTTATCATAAAAAACACAGAGCAGCTAACATGCAGCTTTTGTGTTTTTTAGCATATTTGAGTCATGTTTACATTAACTGAAATGTAAGGCATTTTTTTATTTTATTTAAATGGATCGTGTTTATTGAATGTATTATACTTTTTTATATTTTTTGATTTATGTTCATATGAAAAAACATTTAATATGTAATTCTAAGATATATTTTTGACATTCAAATGTCTTGGTGGAATAAATATGCTTTCTCAAGCATCGTGTAATGTTGAAAAGCTAACCATACTATTAAAGGAAGCTCAATTACACAGTGGTTTCCTTGCTGTCACTTCCTGTTTACCCACTCAACCAACTAACCAATGAGATTCCCCCACTCACCCATTTAACCAATGAGCTGTGGCGGGGGGTGGAGCATGGACAGGCGGTGTTGTATTTGTCGGTCGCTGCTGGATGGGGAAGGCCTCTGCGGTTCTTGTTCTAGTGGGTGTAGTGTTGACTGTGGTGTTGGGTCTACGGTGCAGGTAAGCCTTCAGCCCACCAGCGCTCATCGGCTACTAACATCTGCCTGCATGTGTGTTCGACTCTGATCCATTTGAAATGATCGCCTCAAGCCTTTCCATGTTACTTCAACTGCTGTGCACAACCTAACCAGCGGTGTGTGTGTGTTTGTAAATGTAAGTCAGATGACGGCTTTCCTCTTCCTGATAAGGAAATGTGTGTCATGTGAGGTGGTGGAAGACTCCCTGTTACAGTGCCAACTCTAATCAGGCAACGCAGAGTCACACTGCGGTCGTTCAGTGTTCTTTCTCAAGAGTGGATGTGAAATACTGGGCATAGATCAGCATGTGATCTCTAAGTGTCTTTAAATATGGCTCCTAGTCTCCTGTAGTGTCTTTTTTTTTTAGTAAATGCGCAGCTTTTTTGGTGTTTCCTGCTTTTATTTAAGGGTGGAGGGGGCTGTCTGTTAAATTATAAATTATAATTCCAATTAAATAATTTTTTGAATATTTAACAAATAAATATTACTATTATTATATTTCTTTATTTTATATTATTATCTTTTTTATATTATTTATTATCTTTCTATAATTATAAAATATTTTATAATTTAATGTATTTTCATTTACTATATTAATTAATTTTTCACTTACTATTATTAATTCATTTTTTAAATGTTCCATTATTGTCTTATTTTATTACCTAGCTAGCTATACTGTCTTTATTATTAAAAAAATCATTTTTTTCTGTCCTACAATTATCTTAATTTATTATCTCTACATATCTCTCTCTACTATTATAAATTATAATTCCAATTAAATAATTTTTTGAATATTTAACAAATAAATATTACTATTATTATATTTCTTTATTTTATATTATTATCTTTTTTATATTATTTATTATCTTTCTATAATTATAAAATATTTTATAATTTAATGTATTTTCATTTACTATATTAATTAATTTTTCACTTACTATTATTAATTCATTTTTTAAATGTTCCATTATTGTCTTATTTTATTACCTAGCTAGCTATACTGTCTTTATTATTAAAAAATCATTTTTTTCTGTCCTACAATTATCTTAATTTATTATCTCTACATATCTCTCTCTACTATTATTATTATACATAAATATATACGATATTACATTTTTATATAATTTTCTTTGTTTTTATAAATTATATAGTTTTCTTTCTTTGATAATTTTTATGCTCTCAGTGCTGACAAAAAAAATCATACCTGGTTAGGACACAGTGTAAATGACAGAAAATGTAAATTGTCCAAATATATTAAAACATTTCATGGAAGAAATTTTTGACATTATTATATGCCATTTTACTTTGTTGCATTTGTGTATTTGCAAAGTGGTGCAATTTACACAATCATGTACTTGACTAGACCTTTGTTATGCTTACATGTGAGTGATTGGGGAATTTGAGTCTGTAGCTTGTGCAAAGCTAGCCTTGCAGTCTTCTCAGTCTCTGTCTGTAAATCTGCACGAGTTCCCCACCATAAGGTAATAAATGAACTGTCTATATGTCCCTGCAGAGAGAAAACCGGCGGTTGCAGGAGGCCAGCATGCGTCTGGAGCAGGAGAACGATGATCTTGCCCATGAACTGGTGACCAGCAAGATAGCACTGAGGAATGACCTGGACCAGGTATTTCTACACTAGTTAACACACTTAGCTTTTGTTTAAATCCTGTGTTAATAAGTGTTGTGTTTTCAGGCTGAGGACAAAGCTGATGTTTTAAACAAAGAACTGCTCAACACTAAACAACGCCTGGTAGAGACCGAGGAGGAGAAGAGAAGGCAAGAGGAGGAGACGGCACAGGTACGAGGACACAAAATGTTTCTGAAGTATTAAATTTCACTGCTACGGATTGTACGATAAAGTTTTTGCTTTTCAGCTGAAGGAAGTGTTCAGAAGAGAGCTGGAGAAAGCGGAGTTAGAGATCAAGAAGACCACAGCCATCATAGCCGAGTATAAACAAGTATGTCCAAGTGTCCCGTATAAATCTAGAAATCCCATAATCCTCAAAATTCACCACACATATTCACTTCAGGACAAGATTATTATGCTGTAAAAAATGAAAAATAGGGAGTTGTACATAAAGATTATTAGAATATGTTTTACAATAAAATATTATTTTAGTTTTTCTAATTTCACATTTAATTCAATGCATTACCATTTGTAATTATTTGTGAATTTTATTAGGAATTTTTGAGTGAAAATTGTTTCAAAATCTCGTTTTACTTTTGTAATTGTATTTACTTATTTACTTTATTTTTAATTTGTGCCCTAAATCTCATAGTTATGACTTTTTTTTATGCAATTTTGCTTTAATCTCATAATTTTGAGATTTAAAAATCTTGTAATGATAAAATTAAATATTTTTTAAAACGTAAACGTATTTATTTCAACTAGTTTCCAAGGAAACATTTCTCATTTTCATTTAGTTTAACTTGAGGTACTAAAATAACTAAAATTAAAACTGAAAAATGACTAAAGAAAGACTCTATCATATTAATAACTTCACTCTATGTAGGAAAGTGAAATATTCTGCATGGCTCTTATTCACACTAACAAGTCACCATAATGTGAACATGATTTATTTACACTGATGTAAGAAAAAACGTTTTCTTGTCTCCTATTTTGGATTTTTTTTACTGTGATTTAAAGATGCCAAACTAATTATACAAATGAAGAAAGAGATGTCAGTTGAATATAAACTTATAGTGCTGTCCTGTGGGTTTCTACGGATGGTTACAGGTGTTTTTATCGTAATCTACAGGACAGAAGACATGGCTTCTGTGCATCTGGTTTATTTTCGGTTCATCAGTTTCATTGTTCCCCATATTAATAACTTCACTCTACGTAGGAAAGTGAAATATTCTGCATGGCTCTTATTCACACTAACAAGTCACCATAATGTGAACATGCTTTATTTACACCGATGTAAGAAAAAACATTTTCTTGTCTCCTATTTTGGATTTTTTTTTTTTAAACTGTGATTTAAAGATGCCAAACTAATTATACAAATGAAGAAAGAGATGTCAGTTGAATATAAACTTATAGTGCTGTCCTGTGGGTTTCTACGGATGGTTACAGGTGTTTTTACATATCGTAATCTACAGGACAGAAGACATTGCTTCTGTGCGTCTGGTTTATTGTCGGTTCATCCGTTTCATTGTTCCAGCCTGCTGATGTCTGTCTAATTACTATGTGACAGTAAATATCTGGTTCTTGAGCCCATGTGTGACTATGAGTCTGCTTCATTTGATTCACACCTTTCGTTCAATAAACAGTAACTGTAATTCATCTGTTGGTCTGTATATTATCGTTTCTTTGTGGTTTTACTAGTTCCATTATTAACAACTCGTTTTCACTTACCTTTCTGCTTTATTCATACATGCATATAGGGCTGGGCGATAATTCGGTAACGATAATTATCGCGGTATAATTTCCCTCGATAAAACGATATAGCAGTTCGATAAATGTTCGATCGAATATTTATGCGCCAAAAGCGGAACGAAACCGCACGACTCATTTAAATCGCGCCACAGAGACCGTTTATCTATGGAAGGCCGGACCTTTTAGCCTTCCATATTTATCCGCTCAGATCAAAGTTCAAACGGCTGGCGCGAGCTCACTAGAGCAGATGCGTTTACTCGGTCACGCGAGCTTGATGAACACAAATGACTCGGTGATTTAAACTATTTTAAAGCCAAACAGGAGAAACGCTGTGTGCAACGAGACCGTCAGAAGGCTTTTCAATCTACAGATCACCATCATTTACCATGGATTTACTGTAGTAACACTCACTGCACCTTGGTATTGTGGCAGAAATGTGGGATATTCACACTGAATTTTATTAAAGGATTAATGGTATATAGTTGTAGTATCTATTTGTGATTAAGCTACAGCATGTGTGCATTTATACTGAATGTTTTTAGACTACTGTTTTTCATATAATAGGCTACCTAAAAACTACCTAGTTATATTTTTACCATGGTATTGAGGTGCTATATGTGTGGTTTTAACTGTGTTTATCATGATTTAAATGTATGCTACTATGGGAGACCAATGCTTAATTTAAAAATAAATAAAAACTTGGTCAGAATAAATTTAACAATATAAAACTGAGGTTGCTACAATTTTTTACAGATGTTACTGATTTTGATAATGAAAAAAATGTACATCTACACCCTAACTCAAGCTACTATCAACTGTGCATTTCTATGAGACAAAAAGTGATAGTATTATTAATATTATCAGGCAACCCAAACCTGTTACTTTATATGAAACAATATCACTCATTAGAACATGCAGAAACTAAGAAATATTTTTTTCTATTTAGATATTTATTTTAAGGGAAATTAATGGTCTGGTTTCTACAACTTTCACTTTGGAGCAAAAATCTGGCTTTAAACTTGAAAGGGTGAGTCTCGTGAAAACCAAAGTTTGTTAACAGGAGCAAAGGAAGCAAAGTTTCCTTACTTTAGCAAAGGAAAACCAGTCTCCTCTTGACTTATATTGAAATCCTCCGACATTTTTCTTTACAAATCCTCATTTTGTACTTCTAATAAGTGACCGGTGTTTTGTTTTGATCTCTCCGCTGCGCTTCCCTGTTCGTCACTTCTGCAAAGCTGCCCTCATACGTCATCCGCCCGGAACTGCTTCCGTGTACAACAGTTAGTGCAAGCTACATTAAAGTGATTATTACATTTTAAATATGGTTATTTTTCTTACAAAAACGCATCGATTCGCTACAGAAGGCCTTTGTTCACTCCCCGGAGCCGTGTGAGACACTTTTTTTTTTTTTATGGATGGGCGCTTTTTATTTAACTTGTTTTGGACTGAAGCATGCAACACCCGCTGAGTGCCATGAAACAGCTTGAAAGATCAAAGACAATTTTTAATATAACTCCGACTGGATTCGTCTGAAAGAAGAAAGTTATATACACCTAGGATGACTTGAGGGTGAGTAATTTATGGGCTAATTTTCATTTTTGGGTGAAATAACCCTTTAACATTATAAGAATACAGTCATAACATTACGAGAATAGTTAAAACTATTTGTAACATTTGGTGTTTCCACTGCATTGTTTTGATACTGCTTTTCTTTATGACTCCTCAGAATATTCCAATTTTATAATTCTGTGACTATACTCGAAATTAAAATTTTAAAAATATTGATTTTTCAAAATTACTCCTATAATCTTGCGGTGTTACGACTATTATTTTTTATTTATCTTGTAATGTTACAATTTTATTAATGTAAATTGATTTAAATTTCATGTTATGACTGTTCACATACTTTTGCTTTAATCTTATAATTGTAACTTTATTTGTAATTTTAACTTAGATCTCATAATGTTATAATTTTGTTCACATACTTTTGCTTATATCTCATACTTTGGGCTATTCTCATAATTTTGACAAATTTGTTACAAATTGATTCATGTATTTCTGCTTTGATCTTAAACTTTTGACTTTATTTGGATAATTGACTTTAACGTCCTAATGTTATAACTTTATGTAATTTTGACATATGAATGTTATGACTGTTCACATAATTTTGACTTTGTGTAATTTTGACTTAAATCTCAGTGTTACGCCTATTCACATACTTCTGCTTTCATCGTGAAATGTTTACTTAAGTCATTTTGACTCATGTTACAACTTGATTAGCATAATTTTGTCTTAAATCTCAAAATGTTGTTCATGAAATTTTAACATTTTGTCATTTTAACATAATTCTCAGAATGCTGTAACTTTGTTCATGTATTTTTGCTTTAATTCCATAATTTTGACTTTCTTTACGCAATTTTTATTTAAATCTCAATAGGTTATGACTGTTCACGTTATTTTGCTTTATCAAAATTTCTGAATTTATTCACGTAATTTTGACTTAAATCTTGATTTGAAATTTTGACTTTGTCCACATAATTTTGCTTTAATCTAATAATTTTTACTTTATTTGCTTAATTTTAATTTTAATCTCGTAATTTGGATTTTTCCAAAGTATTACATTTTCCAAGTACTACTATTTTAATCTTGTACTGTTAAGACTTTATTCTCAAAACTTTGACTTTATTTTTGTAAATGACCTACTTGTAATATCTTACCAAACAATCTTAGCAAACAAACGAGTTATATATTTTAATAAGCTTTTTACAGCTATGTCACAGTTACTTTAATGTTGTTTGTTCATGTACTGCACCAGGAGCTGGAGCATCAGAGGGGTGTTTTGATGACTGAGGTCCAAGCTGCCAAAAACTCCTGGTTCAGTAAAACACTGGGCTCCCTCAAGAATTCAGCCAGTAACCAGTCACCCTCCTCACCCAAAGAGGGCCAGTAGGACTCGCCAAGGGCTTAACCAACGGGTACAGGAGCGTGACCCTTCCACTTGGCCAAGCAGAGTAGAAAACAAGCTCTAATAAACACTACTAGCAACACAACATGGTAATGCAGTATTCCCTCACATGGACTAATGAACGACTTCCACATGCATTTAACAGTCTGTTATGATTTCCTTAGCTTGTGATGCTGTCTACTGGACAGTAACAGTACTACAGTGATAATTATTACATTTATCAATGTTCATCCAGCTATCCGCTTCTGCAGTGGATTTTTTTGTTAGTAAACAGTCAGTTCTAGCATGTAAGTACATTCTAGTAAGTACATAAACTTTGACCTTTAGCTGCCAATTCAAAGGTTTTTTATTCTCAAAGGGAATACTGCATTCTGCTAACAATAAAAGTAAAAAATTGTTTTGTGTTTCTATATATAAATAATAAATGTAACAGGTTTGTCGTATAAATGTGTATAACTAAATGTCGATTTTTATTTTGATCTTGTACAGTTCTGAAAGAAGTGTTGCATTATTTTTTACGATTTTGAATATGAATGTGCTCTTTATAAATGTCAAATGCCGAAAAGCACAGACAAATTGGCCATGTATCACATGGCATTCCCTCCGTCCGTTTTCGCAGTTTTAAATTGCTGTAGACTGTTTGGGGTTCCGTTTCGCTGTGAGCAGATCACATGATTTATCAGACGACGCAGACCTTGACGTTGTGGCCACACAATATTGACCTCCCAAGTCGCACATACTGCTTGTTTTATGTTATTTAACAGGTATTCATGAGCGCTTGGGTGACAGATGCCATGCGGAAATCAAGAACGTGTCAATATGTCTCTTTTTTGTTCTTTTTTTATTTTTTAGGGAAAGACGTAAACCAGGTCGCACAGATGTATCGTTGAGATCATTGTGACTTTAAAGCCATGTGGAGTCAGTCTGCGTTTCATTTTTTCTTCTGCTATTTGTTAGAATGTCCATATTAATAACTTCCCTTCATGTGTTATTTCACAAAGGGGAGTGAAATAATCTGCATGGCTCTTATTCACACTAACAAGTCGCCATATTGGGAACATGCTTTATTTACACTGATGTAAAAACATGTTTGTTTTTTTTTACTGTGATTTAAAGATGCCAAACTAATTATACAAATGAAGAAAGAGATGTCAGTTGAATATAAACTTATAGTGCTGTCCTGTGGGTTTCTACGGATGGTTACAGGTGTTTTTACATATCGTAATCTACAGGACAGAAGACATTGCTTCTGTGCGTCTGGTTTATTGTCGGTTCATCCGTTTCATTGTTCCAGCCTGCTGATGTCTGTCTAATTACTATGTGACAGTAAATATCTGGTTCTTGAGCCCATGTGTGACTATGAGTCTGCTTCATTTGATTCACACCTTTCGTTCAATAAACAGTAACTGTAATTCATCTGTTGGTCTGTATATTATCGTTTCTTTGTGGTTTTACTAGTTCCATTATTAACAACTCGTTTTCACTTACCTTTCTGCTTTATTCATACATGCATATAGGGCTGGGCGATAATTCGGTAACGATAATTATCGCGGTATAATTTCCCTCGATAAAACGATATAGCAGTTCGATAAATGTTCGATCGAATATTTATGCGCCAAAAGCGGAACGAAACCGCACGACTCATTTAAATCGCGCCACAGAGACCGTTTATCTATGGAAGGCCGGACCTTTTAGCCTTCCATATTTATCCGCTCAGATCAAAGTTCAAACGGCTGGCGCGAGCTCACTAGAGCAGATGCGTTTACTCGGTCACGCGAGCTTGATGAACACAAATGACTCGGTGATTTAAACTATTTTAAAGCCAAACAGGAGAAACGCTGTGTGCAACGAGACCGTCAGAAGGCTTTTCAATCTACAGATCACCATCATTTACCATGGATTTACTGTAGTAACACTCACTGCACCTTGGTATTGTGGCAGAAATGTGGGATATTCACACTGAATTTTATTAAAGGATTAATGGTATATAGTTGTAGTATCTATTTGTGATTAAGCTACAGCATGTGTGCATTTATACTGAATGTTTTTAGACTACTGTTTTTCATATAATAGGCTACCTAAAAACTACCTAGTTATATTTTTACCATGGTATTGAGGTGCTATATGTGTGGTTTTAACTGTGTTTATCATGATTTAAATGTATGCTACTATGGGAGACCAATGCTTAATTTAAAAATAAATAAAAACTTGGTCAGAATAAATTTAACAATATAAAACTGAGGTTGCTACAATTTTTTACAGATGTTACTGATTTTGATAATGAAAAAAATGTACATCTACACCCTAACTCAAGCTACTATCAACTGTGCATTTCTATGAGACAAAAAGTGATAGTATTATTAATATTATCAGGCAACCCAAACCTGTTACTTTATATGAAACAATATCACTCATTAGAACATGCAGAAACTAAGAAATATTTTTTTCTATTTAGATATTTATTTTAAGGGAAATTAATGGTCTGGTTTCTACAACTTTCACTTTGGAGCAAAAATCTGGCTTTAAACTTGAAAGAAAGAAATATTTGACATTTATAGTGATAATTATGGATATCAACCGATATGAAAAAAATTATCGCGATAATGTTTTTGGCCATATCGCCCAGCCCTATATATATATATATATATGCTGTAACTAGTCAAATTTTTCTTCATTAGTACATATTTAACGCAGTGTTGCCAACTTCTTTCAAATGAAAGTAGCTAAAGCCTGCTTGAAAAGTTGCTAAATGTCGCTAGTTGACGTCATACGCTAATTAGCATATTCACGACGTCATTGTGTCATATATTCCTTTTACATTTGTTTGCCTCTGTGCTCACAAATTGTAATTTAATGCAGCCAAATTCTCAATAAAACTGTTTTCACTGATGTATTTTTCTGTTTCTGTTGTCAGACAACGCGACGAATATGAAATATTGAATGAACGTCTCCGGTTACTATTGTAATCTTGGTTCCCTGAGAGAAGGCGACCTAGCCGTGTTTGCTGCTCGACCAGCTAAGCGGCGTTCAGTATCAGATTCTGATGTAATTGTCGCGTGCACCGCATTTTATAGGCCTACTGCCTCTCGAGCTTGTTAGTATTTGCATACTATATGCATACTTCGTGACAATTGGCCAGACAATTGGACTGGCGTGAGCCAATAGGACTTCAGGAAAGGTTGGAAGGGAAGGAATTCCCATAGCGGAGAAACCTTCGCGATATCTCGTGAAAGCTCGAAAGAGAAACACGGCCCAGCTCTCCCTTAGATGTTAATCGGCACAAAAATCCTGATTGATAATCAGGACGTCGTCTAATGAAATCAAATACACATAAGAAAAAGACAATGGATTTGCTGTGATTTCAGCTATATTTACACATAATATAGTTATATTTTAACTGCAAGCGCTGCTCCTCTCAGCCGCTCGCTGAACAGATCAGACGCAGAGGGAGGTGTGTGCGCAATGGGAAAGCAAGACCTTGTGCTCATGCGGCAGTACCAGCGAGTCTCAGAAACTAAATAAGGTTTGTCCAAGAAGTCGCTGGATTTGTCACTAGGCGCTTTTTTGGAAAAAAGTCACTAAAGGGGTCTGAAAAGTTGCTAAATCTAGCGACAAAGTCGCTAAGTTGGCAACTCTGATTTAACGGCCCCGTTGTGTGAATTTTTTTAAAGTACAAATATTATACAATATAAATATTATATAATATAAAATTTGTCCTACTTTTAATTATTTTACTATTAAATTGCACAGGACTGAAAAAAATTATATGGAAGTAGACTCACTTGAATATTCTTAATTAAATTAGTAAATTAGTTAAACTCAACAGTTTCTTAACTCAAAAGCATAAGATAAAATTGTAATATTAACTTTGTTGAGATCCTGATTTAACAGCAATTTAGGAATTGCTACTTTAAAGACTTTTTTATGGTAATCACAAGCTAAGATCACTCATTAGAACATGCAGAAACTAAGAAATATTTTTTTCTATTTAGATATTTATTTTAAGGGAAATTAATGGTCTGGTTTCTACAACTTTCACTTTGGAGCAAAAATCTGGCTTTAAACTTGAAAGAAAGAAATATTTGACATTTATAGTGATAATTATGGATATCAACCGATATGAAAAAAATTATCGCGATAATGTTTTTGGCCATATCGCCCAGCCCTATATATATATATATGTATGTGTGTGTGTGTGTATTAATTATAATTTGGACTGATTTACTTCATTTTATAGGAGAGTACAAGGGGAGCTCGAAGTGGGACTCGAACTCGGGTCACTATTTGACATTTATAGTGATAATTATGGATATCAACCGATATGAAAAAAATTATCGCGATAATGTTTTTGGCCATATCGCCCAGCCCTATATATATATATGTATGTGTGTGTGTGTGTATTAATTATAATTTGGACTGATTTACTTCATTTTATAGGAGAGTACAAGGGGAGCTCGAAGTGGGACTCGAACTCGGGTCACCCGAGGTGATGCAGCTCCACTTCAGACTTGGCACACAGTACTCCGTGAAAGTGAAGAAATTTAGACATACTTTCAGAACAAAGTTATTTTTGTGTAATTAAAATTGAATATATACTACTGTATTATTTTTATGTAATTTGTTAATAAATAGAATATTCCCTGCAGAGATGACGGGGAATGTGTCCTATCGCGGCGTAACCTGGTATCACGATACTTACACATGTACCTCAGGTTAGACGGGCGTGGAAACGTCAAGAATGTGAATAAGGTAAGTTCTCAAATTTTCCTACAATCTACTTGTAAAATGTCCATATTCACTAAAATTGTAGTGAGTTCAGTCCGCTTTACTCGCAAATCATCTTAAAATCACAAGCACGTTAAACATAGTCCAGTGCCTCAGTCAGTCACTAACAGTCAGTACCTATACCATATACATATTTCATATTTTCTACTACATTCTATTCTCTACTCTCTATTCTCTACTATCATATATAACACACACACACATGTTAACTTTGATACACACAGGGATCTTGCCCTGAAAGCTGAACAGGAAAGCCTCCTCATCTGTAATATACTGACCACTTTGAGTATAATCTACACTGGTGTATCCACCAAAGATGTAGCCTGAATGGTTGTAGGCTACAAGTAAGGTGGGACCCTGATGGTCACATCGCTGGTGGAAAGCAGAAGCTTGATATCCATGAACAGAAGCTTTGTAGAGAAGAGACAGTTTCACATTCCCCAGCAAGCCGCAGAGCTGCCTACATTTCTCTTCTTTTAAATCAGAAGTGAGGGACTCCATGGTACCATCTCTCACTTGTCTTGTATGCGTCCTTGAAGACAAAGACATGCAAACACAAATAAAAACTTGAGCTTCATGCATTAATATTTCCAGTCGGCACATTCCACAAACAGGGCACACTTTTGTGTCCTATTATTCTTCATTCGTATTTTTAAATGCAGTGTTTATATGCACTCACTGCATTCATCAAGCTCACTCATATACCCAATTTATTGTAAGAAAAAAGACCAAATCAATGTCTTTCTTTAATTTATGAGATATACTGTATAAAGTACAATATATGAGCCAACATTTTCTGAAGGTTAAGTACCTTCTTTAAGTGATTGATTGTTAAAGACTGCCACTTTTCCTGTTCCTGACTTGTGTATTTATTTATTGTTTGTTTGATTATTTAAGGTTCAGTTAAGAATTATTCTTTGTACTTACTTTACTTTTAACTTGCTGTTCATAGTTTCTGTGAACTGCCACATGCACAGAGTTATATGAATTGCCAAAATCCATTAATTTTACATCATATTTAGCAAGCACTAATCAATAATAATAAAAAAACTATTTAGAATAATTGTATGTAAAATTGTATACTCTTATAATACGTATATGTAACTTACCTTTCTCAGAGCACTTGCTTTGTGAAAGTAACACTGAAATGTTTCACTTGTTCTTAGGATGTTCCAAAGATGTAGCCTGAATGGTTGTAGGCTACAAGTAAGGTGGGACCCTGATGGTCACATCGCTGGTGGAAAGCAGAAGCTTGATATCCATGAACAGAAGCTTTGTAGAGAAGAGACAGTTTCACATTCCCCAGCAAGCCGCAGAGCTGCCTACATTTCTCTTCTTTTAAATCAGAAGTGAGGGACTCCATGGTACCATATCTCACTTGTCTTGTATGCGTCCTTGAAGACAAAGACATGCAAACACAAATAAAAACTTGAGCTTCATGCATTGATATTTCCAGTCGGCACATTCCACAAACAGGGCACACTTTTGTGTCCTATTATTCTTCATTCGTATTTTTAAATGCAGTGTTTATATGCACTCACTGCATTCATCAAGCTCACTCATATACCCAATTTATTGTAAGAAAAAAGACCAAATCAATGTCTTTCTTTAATTTATGAGATATACTGTATAAAGTACAATATATGAGCCAACATTTTCTGAAGGTTAAGTACCTTCTTTAAGTGATTGATTGTTAAAGACTGCCACTTTTCCTGTTCCTGACTTGTGTATTTATTTATTGTTTGTTTGATTATTTAAGGTTCAGTTAAGAATTATTCTTTGTACTTACTTTACTTTTAACTTGCTGTTCATAGTTTCTGTGAACTGCCACATGCACAGAGTTATATGAATTGCCAAAATCCATTAATTTTACATCATATTTAGCAAGCACTAATCAATAATAATAAAAAAACTATTTAGAATAATTGTATGTAAAATTGTATACTCTTATAATACGTATATGTAACTTACCTTTCTCAGAGCACTTGCTTTGTGAAAGTAACACTGAAATGTTTCACTTGTTCTTAGGATGTTACACCCAAGACAAACCTGTTCTGTCAAGTTCCTTCATTCCTGTTATACAGGAATGTTTTTAGCATTGAAATTAATCCACTAACCATTAATGAATTCTCAGGTCTCTAAAACACAATGTATGTTGAGGTAGATGATAAACTGCAGTAATAGTATGAACAAACAGAAGTACCTGTTTGTGGTGTGGGAACCGCCCATTGATTCCTCACCTGGCTTTGTGTCTGAGCAAACAGGTTCTCTTTGCTCACACATTAGTAACTATTCATATTGAACACCGGGGGTCTCCATGTCTGACACGTTTACATTTTAGTTGTGTATTGGTTTCAACAAAAAAGTTTGAATATATATGAAGAAAGCTACCCATTGGACAGTATAATATATAATATATTAAAACATTTTGGCATGCTAAACATAAAGTTGTTGTATCTTGGTCATGTTTTGGCATTTTATAATCAAGCCAGCATATGACTTGGGGATTATATCCCAACACCAAAAAAGTTTATTGACATTGCCACCTATTGGTTAAAAATTGCAATTCAGAATAAATCTATAAATAACATTGGCCAAATTAGCTAAATATATTAGTGGTTAATCATGTTAAATTAATCTAAAAACAAGAGCCAAATAACAGTGTCAGAATATTTAATTGCAATGAGCAAGCCATACATAATTGATTTTAATAGTTTACTTTAAAATGTAAGGAATAACTAATTCCAGAATGGACTTTTCTCATGGAAAGCTCTGCATTTCTTTTAGAACAGTGTGACAGTCCTAATTTGTAATATACCGTAAAGTTAATCAGATGCTACAGAATTCTTACATCAAACGAGCCACAATAAATAAATGTAATGCATGTAATACACCAATTTTCTGGCTTAAGATACATTATTGTGCAGAGATGGAAGCTAAGTCACCTATATCTTATTCAAAGACAATGTAACAATCTGGCCGCATCTCAGCAGGAACTGAGGAAAAGCTCTATCATAAGCATGCTAAAAAACATTGTCCTCCATGGAACAGACATCATCCAGATAGTCGTCTGCAAAGTTGAGCATCTGCTGTAAAGCGGTGAGAAGCAGGACGTCACAGTTGAGCTCCAGCTCCAGCTCCTGACTGTAGTTCTTCACCGGTAACACACAAGACACCGGCACACCCAACCGAGAGCTCACCTCCTGCACCTGCAGACACAAAACAACACCTCCCTCACTCTGAGTCCTGTAGGAACAGACCATGTGATCATGTGACCGCCTCTCACCTTTGACTTGATGTAGGAACTGACATAAAGGCTTTGAAGGTCCTTCTCCACTAGAGGACATGCTTCATCTACTTTTGTCATCAAGACGATCTGAGCAATGCCTGAAATTGCACATGTTAAGGTACGTTGTGTGTAACTCTGTCCGGTAGATCAATGTATAACCTACTTTGTATTAGTCACAAGGTGCAAATATGTTCTCTTACCCAGTGAGTTCACTTTTCTGCGTATGGAAGCAAGTTTTTCCTGTAGTTTGTCAGACATGAGGGAGATTCTGGTGGAGTCTATCACATACACCACACAGTGGATCTTCTCCTGAAGAGATGCAGGTCTGGAGGCCTTTTGCTCATCAGGTTGAAACGGTGCCATGGGGTTGAACTGGATTGAGAATAATTGAAATTAAAGATACATTTTATTGATATACATTTGCAAGCCAAAAACATCAACCTATGCACTTACTTTATAGCGGTCTGGTACGTGACCTTGAAGAATGCTGCTGATGTCCTCAATATCCAGTCCTGCACCTGATTGCTCCTCGAGTCCCATGGTGTCACACAACACAAACGGCAACGGCTTTCCCTCACGACCGTCTTTCACTGGATATGTGCGAAACTACCAACCAAGAAGAGAATCACATCGTATACTTAATATTTAAAAATAAGTAAACATCTTCAGAAGTAAACTGAACTCGTAGTTCAGTAGAGTTCTAGACCAAAAGTATAAAAGTACTGAATATTTTTGCATAAATGTAAATGACAGAGAAAGACCAGTGTGTGATTAAGTTCTGTAAATGATTCAAAGAGCTTTTGATTGGGCCTTTTCTGAATCTGACCTCAGCCACAAGAACTGAGAAAAAAAAGTATTTAGGGTTGGCTTCCACAGGACGTATATCATCAAAATAGACATCTGCAAAGTTGAGAATCTGCTGTAAAGCGGCGAGAAGCAGGACGTCACAGTTGAGCTCCCATGGTGTCACACAACACAAACGGCAACGGCTTTCCCTCACGACCGTCTTTCACTGGATATGTGCGAAACTACCAACCAAGAAGAGAATCACATCAACACCTGAAGTCATCAAGAGACGTTTCTTGAGCTCTAATAGGAAACATGATGAACTTATTAAATCTGTACCTGTGTGGTGAGACTAGTTCCTGCGGATCCTGACATGGCTTTGCTGGTAATGCGGCTCATGAAGATGGAGTTGATGGAGTTGAAGAAACTGGATTTTCCAGCACCTACAGGACCGATCATTAGGATTCTGACCCGACTCACAGACGTCACCAGGGGTTTATGATTCCTGATCATTTCCATGAGCTCGTCTCTTCGACTACAACACAGAGCACAACAATTTTGTCAGATCATCCTATGAAATCAGCAACTCTATTTAAGTTGCAACATACTTAGCTGTCCACAGAACATTCCTCCATTGCTTGTGTATGGCACTGATCTGAGGGACTGGCAATCGAAATTAATATGAATACAATGTATATTAAATTATATAATCACATGAATAACACTATGACTGACTTACTCTGCTTCACTTTGTACACCTCACATTCGCTCAGTTGAGTATCGTTTCCATACATTGTTGCTGTGTTAAGACTGACTGCATTGCTTCCAGAATTATACACTACTGGTTGGTTGTTGTAGCAAAAGTACAACTGTTGGCCAAAGTTGGGCACTCCAGTGTCATCGATGCGTGCATTATAGCCACTGTTAACTTTGAAACACACAGGGATCTTGCCCTGAAAGTGAGGCGACCCGCTTGATGTAAATATAAAAGCTTATCTCATGGTTTAAAATATAGGCAGTGTTGGGGAGTAACTTGTTACATGTAACAGAATTATGTAATTTAATTACAAAATAAATGTAACTTATAATAAATGTATCCGTTACAGTTACTGAGAGAGAAAAAATGTGTAGGCTAATGAAATACAGTTAATTAGGAAAATGTTAACAATTACAAAAGGGGTTACAACTGAATATTTTTTTAGAAAAAGCTAGGATACATTGAATAATATTAGTTTGCTGTTTTGCCTGTTTTTGATGTGCACGACGTTAGTGCTGGGGGGAGTGGGGGGGGGGGGGGCAAAAAATTTTGAACATGTGTACAGTTAGCGGA